ATCCACAAGTTGTAGACCAACTGTAGAACACTTTCCATTTGCACTGATACACCTCCATTGAAAAAGAGTGTATGGAACTAGCTAAAAGAAAGCTACTTGGCGGGAGAAACCTGATCTACTCAACAGGGACCAAATAAAAGCCAGGCGTGAAGCCCACCAATGTCAGGGCCTTGTCCAACCACCAATACAGATGGTCCATCAGGGTCAGAGGCAGGGAAACAGGAGCTAGGTTCCATTGATTGTGAATAGCCCACTAAAGGGATCGCATATGTGCATGACCGAGGACCAGTGACGTCATTGAAGACTACATTCCAAAAAGTGATGGAACCTCACGAGCAGAAAGTGAGCAGAAAGGGTGTGGCGAACTAACAGTTCCATAGAATAAAGTCATGGCGAAGAAGGTTGGGCCGACTGAGATGAGTGTCGAAAAAGACACCCAAGTGAACGAGATATTAGGTTGGCCAGAGGAAGGAATTCCCCAATTTGATTAACCAGCCCACCCGAGCAGCCACTAGAAGAAGCTGACGGGTATGGCTGGCCTGCATCCAGTTTGGAATGAGCCAGTCATCTATATATAATGGTGGAATCGCAACCCCAGAGCATGAAAACATAAAGAAAACAGAAAACATAAGTGACAGAAGCAAGCCCGAAGGATAGTGTAAAATTGGTAAACCACCCCATGATGGATGAACCAAAGATACAGATGAGACTGTGGTGATAGAGGAATGTAGAAATAAGCATTGGCGACGTCCATCTTGGTCAGCCACAAGCCCAGAGAAAACACTCACTGTAGGGTGAGAAATGACTCCATGGTAAAATGGAGAAGTGGAATGAAGTGATTGAGGTGGGACAAATTGATGACAGGCCTCCAGTCCCTGGTTTTCTTAGGAACAACAGAGTCTGGAATAAAAACCTGGTGAATGATGTAGAACAGGTTTAATGGCCTGCTGAGATAGTAGTTCCTGAACTGCCTCCGACAGACACTGGCTTGTTATGAGATCCCAAGGCAGGGGGGAAGGAAACTGGTATAGAATATATGGTAGGTGGAAAAAAAACGGGTTCACGAATCCTTCTCATAAAACTTGAAGAACCCAATGATCCTTGATAAAAAAAATGCAAGTGATAAAGAAAATTGGTAAGCTGAGCTCCCACTGGACAAAAACCCAACATGTAGTCACCAATACTGTTGGCGACGTGACGAACATTGTTGAAGAAAACAACAGGCAAGGGTTGGGAAGCGGAAGGATGGATAATAGTAACAGGTGCCATACTGGGCTCCAACTGAAACAAATGGTCAACAAGGTTGGAAAGGGTAAACTGTTGTACCGATGCAACTTGTGATTTCAAAGACTCGGGGATTGTGTCAAAGATGTATCGCCACAGAATTGGGGCACACGTAAATGCCGAATACAAGATGGTGATAGGATTTTGGTGGAGAGCCTCAGAGAGGTGATGGATGGTAGAAAGATACTGTAAAAGAGTTGTAATGGTAAGACAAAGGCAGGAAATTTGGGCAGGGGTCAGACTTACAGGAGATTCGGGAGCTGCACCCCAAACAGGCAAAATGGAACCTAACAACTGATGGTCCAGAAAAGGGCAGTTTGCACAATGATATGCAAGAGAAAACTGATCCAAAACCCATGTGGGGCGGGGCATGCTAATCCCGTCAATTTAATTGTGAGATAAATTGGTCAGCATGTACCCAAATATCCAGGGAGACAGGGAAACCAAATAGGGATGGGAAGATGGGTCATGTAGTAAAGAAGGACGTGGTTCACAGGAAATAGAGGATGGGATAAAACGTCACATACTTGAGAAAGGAAATAGAAATAGACCATATTAAGCCCGACTGACTCCTCAGGCGGGGAATGAGAAGGCACGGCAAAATCAGAGGTGGAATAGGCGATCCAAGTCCTCGTCTGCTTGAACAGGCTCAACTCGTTCAGGAGGAAATGGGGCAAGGTTCAGAGACAGAGGTTGACCTATGTAACGTTCAATCTCCTGGCGAATAAATGCAGATAAATTCCCCGCCACATCACCCACACACCTGAGACATAGCGCTAGTCGCAGGTGTGACCCCCGAAGTGGTAACACGAACTTTGGAATTCATAATAAGGTAGAGTCAACCAATAATCGAAAGTATTAATAACAATGCATCTGTAATAAACTGGGATTAAAGTGAAGTTAAGAAACAGTCTTAATAGAAACTAGAAGTTCAAATAAATGAAGACCACTTCGTGAGTATACTAAAGGCAAACGTGAAACTAAACAAAAAGGAACATGTCTGAGCACAAGCACTGCAAATTGGAAGTGATAATTCAGTAGAGGCATATAGAGGGAGTCACATGCATCACGTGAGTATGTAATACTCCTATTGCTGGAGAAGTGACACATGATGATTTACATAAGAGACATGTTGGAATCATTTGATTCTAACATGGGGGAATAAAAGGCTTGTGACATGCATAAAGAAGATGTGCATATAGAGGGCAGGACTGGACGAGAATAGCTAATCTTGTGAGAGGAGGGAAGTACCTTATCGTAAAATATAACATCATATGTTAAAAATATTACTGGAGCACAGTTTACATTGTTTACCTCTTAAATAATCAACTCTGTACTAAATCCAGAATTTTTGGAATATAATAAATTGCAAAACTTTATTGTGTTAAAATTTTAATCATAGTCAAAAACCATTTACAGACTTCAACATTTTGTCTAGTGTTAATATCATAACCAAGTATTAGTAATAATGGCTGGAGACGGCTTGAATGGGTAATGAAAAAAAACTTTAATATAAGTTTAACATAACAGCAAATGTACAACATTTCGATAATGACAAAACCTTGTCGAAACGTTATACATTTACTGTTATGTTAAACTTATATTAAAGTTTTTCTTCATTACCCATTCAAGCCGTCTCCAGCCATTATTAGTCTCAAAGTGGGTTCCTCGTCATCGAACAAGTATTAGTAAACTTCTGAAATTTTATGCTTTAAGAAAAAATCAAATCTTGGTGCTTAACCTGGATTCAACTCTACAACTTTTATAAGAAAAGATGCAATTCGAAACAGTTGTATTTTTAAAGTACAATGAGACATTATGAAAAAAAAAGTTCCAGTTAGAGACTATTTTCATTTCTTGCAAAGTAAAATTTACTACAATAAAGTTTAGTTATTTGAAGTACCTGAAGACGACAGACCATTGTTCTGTTGAAACATGTAATACATTCTCTGCATAGAAAAATTTTCATTATGCTTATAAATTGTTGTTCATCAATTTACTATTGATGTTTAGTCTATTATTTTGTATTAGTACAAGAACAGTTTTCAAGATTTATGAGGTAAACAAACTGATGTAAGTGCAATAACTGACCCATTTTATAAGTCCAGGTTTGGTTGCTCTAAGCACAATATTTAGTCTTATTCAGAAATTACTTTACTACTGCAAATTATTAAATAGTTCTTTGGGGTTTCTTTCATAATTTAAACACAATTCCTTTCATAATTAGATGTATCAATAAGTGTGAAAATAATTTTAGTAAAGAATACAAAAAAAAGGAATACACTCAGTTCTCAAGATAAATTTTGCTATGCATAATAACTTACTGTAAATAAGAAAAGACAAAGACTACTCAGACCAAGAATATTTTTAGTCACACTGTTTATGTTCAGTAAAAAAATATTACATAAGGCCTCAACATAAAAGGTAACTAACTAATAAATTTCAAACTTAATATTAACTAGTAGCTCGTAATATTTTTGATAACAAGTTCAACTTTAAAAATCCCCCCCAAAAGCTATATGTTGAAAATATAAGACATAAAATTTCTTAAATACTAAAATATTAAATGTAACATCATATGTTAAGAGAATATTATATAATAAAATGAAACAGAAATGATCCAAAACTGCAAATCCTGACATATTTTCTTGTAGTAAAATTAGATTACACTACATATTATTAGATACATATTACATAATTATTGGAAAGGCTGAAAATGAGCATTGGCTAAGATAAAAAGAAACATTAGCCATAAAGAACTTAGCACCTGAACTAAACAAGAAATCAAGTACCGGTGAGCTAATGTTAAAAGTGTGATAAGAGAGAAAAAAATTCACGTGATTGAAATTACCTTGTGTTAGTCATTTAAAACTGAATTGGCTGGCAAACTTGAATTATTTGTTCATATGGTTATCCATTTTAACTTCCATCTCAGTTACTCTGTCTTATGTATATATGTTTTTATGGTATAATATCCATTAAAATTATATTGAAGCCAAAATAATTTGTTTCTTTATAAATTTAACTGAGACGAATATCTTCAAATAGCATGCTATCTAG